CGGTGCAGGAGAAGGCGGCAAATGCATAACATTGCTCTCTGCACTTTTATATATTTACGTTTTTGAACCATTCGTTTCGTTTACAAAGCTTCGGTACATAACGGCACTTACGTCTATCTTACGAATGTACTGCAATTTAGGCTATCTTAAAGGGGTAAAATGGTGCGATTTCAAGTTTTCCTTTCTCTTTGGAGTGTTACAAGCTGATTGTGCATATAATGATCTTTAAAAAAGCATCATATGACCCCTTTAAGAACGCTGAAGGCGAACAGAAATGAGATATACAGCTCTCTGTTTGCAGCGCGTCAGTCACGCTCGTCAGGAAAGTGAGTGAAACACACACACATTTTTATCAAATAATACGTCATTAATAGCGGTTCACTTCCGCGATTTGGTACGATTGCGTTCACATCAGCAGCGAACCATACCGGAGTTCACATGAACCATACCCCAGACCACCCTTTTTAAGCGGACTCGGGTATGGTTCTCAGGTGCACACCCGAGATCGGAAGACAGTGTTCACATCATCCAAACGAACCGAACTCTGACGTCAATCGAACCCGGGTGCGCACCAAAAGTGCTAGTGTGAAAGCACCCTTGTGTAAAATGCAAAAACGAAAGAACTAGTAATAAGATGTTTCTTCTCATATTTCACAGAATACTAAACACCTTTATAAGTTTACAGCATGAAATGTTCCTATGTAACATTTGACACATAATGTTGTTTAATTACATAAACCTGATTTTTATGCTGTTCTCTGTGAATTCAGGAACAATGTGTGCTATAGACTACAAAATTTAAGTCTACATCTTAAAACATAATTTTACTGTTTTTCTGAGTGTCCTGAAAAAGTGCAGAGAAATCCAAGACCTTGCATGATTTATTGTGAAATACATTATTACTCTAATTTATTAATTACAATTTTAATTTTAATTAATACATTTGAATAATTAGTACCGTAATAAAGTAATATATCATTTTATTTATATTTAAATTCAGAAAATAAATAATAATAAAGTAACTGGTTTTATTCAAATAAAAATATTTAGCATCATTCAGTCAACCAAAATACATTAATTTATACTAACAAAACTCATTTTTATTGGTTAAAGGATAGTTTTCCCCCCCCTATACTATGGAAGTCAATGGCTACCAGCAACTGTTACCAACATTCTTCAAAATATCTTCTTTTGTGTTCAACAGGCGAAAAGAAAAACTCATAGAGGTTTGGAACAACTTGAAGGTGAGTAAATGATGACAGAATTTTCATTTTTGGGCGATCTTTACCTTTAAAGCAGGTAAAAATGGCTGTTTAACATAATTTTACCACTTTTTAGAGTGGATCAGAATAATTCAAATACTGACAAACAGACAGTGACGTGAGATGAAACACAACCCCTTGTTTACACTGAGAAAACTGTGTCGGCACCTCATTAAAACCTCCTAAGTCTTCCTAATACTGCAGTAATTTATACACTGAGACCATTAACAGTGCTCTATCATACTGTGATTGACAGCAGTGAACTGGATCATCAAGTTCTTTCTCTAGACCAACCAATGATCTTTCCACTACAAGCTGTTCGACACAAGGCACAGAGAATGAAATCACCCCAATCACTTTGTTGACCCAAACTCATTAATCCTTAAAGTTCATTAATGCCAAAATCTAAGCATGTTTAACATGGCTCCCACTGAAAACGGAAAACTTTATTTAATGGATTTACACCTTGTGCCCAGAAAGCGATTACACAAAAGAGAAAATTGATTCGGAAGCTTCGGGAAATGTAAAGCGAGCCACATGTTCGCATCAGCCGAGCTTCACCTTTGTTTTAAGGCTCTACATGAGCCCCTAATGCAACGTAAAAGAGAGCTTATCGATCTCCTGGCCAGAGCCCCCTACTAAGCCATCTATCAAAACACATTAATTCCATGCTTAGGACGCCAATATTGACCACTGCACTCACTACTGCATAAATGCAATTAACCAAGGAGCTCTCTGGATAAGTGATGAACTCCTCCCACTGCTAACAGTCTGAATATCAGCACAGAGGACTAGTTTTAGGACACACTACCCGAAGCATCCCACACGAGCTTTTCTGAATGATCTGTACTTTTATTCATTTAACATAAAATGAGAGTATTAACTGGATATATGACACAGTCAAGCTGCCTGTTTCCTGCAAAGGGCTTCAAAAAGCCACCAATCCATGATACTCACATCCAGGGGGTTTTGATACTTTTTTTAATAGGCTACTCTTAGAGCCTCTTTGCCATTAATAAACGTTATAAGACATTTGCAAGTTTTGTTTCCTATTGGATTATAGGTAAATATCCACTTCATCCAGTCTTATAAAATATCCTGCAAATGATTCAGTGTGTGAGTGAAGTGTCCAAATGAATCAAACTGAATCGCGAACAATTTCAGACCATTTTGCAAACCCGAGTGACTGAATCAAAATAGGGATTGACTGGCAAATCTGGAATTGCTAATTCTGATTCTAAACAGCTGATACAAAATACGCATGTCTTGATTGCTGAAATATTATCAGTGAAAATGATTCTTAGGTCTGTATACATCAAATGACACATTAGGATTTATAAGTAATATGCCTCTTTTCTGACTCAAAAAGCTGTTTTATAAAGTCGGGCTTTGAAATAAAAACTTCAGATGAGCACAGAATATATATTTCTGGAGAACAGTAATTCCTTCCCTGTTCACACACGTCTGTCTTTTTCAGTATTTATAAAGGTGTTATGCATTTGGATTGCTGTATGTATAAATAGCCACACATTCTAAGTAAACTTCCATTCTTTAAGAGCTCCTGAAGTATCATGCATTTAGTATTGTGTGTTAGCTGAACACTAATAGGAAGAGAAACAATGCTGTTGGATTTCCTCGTTTGAATGCCATCTGGATGACTGTGAATTTATGGAGGTCAAAGTCTTTATTCTTAAGAATGGTTTTGTAAGTCATCCTAGTCTTATTAATATCGACAACACCTGTTCTGGAAGTCTCATTTAATTATGGCATGAATGCCTTCGTAAACATGTAATTGGGAGTATATTCTCAGATAGCAACAGCCAAAGTCTGTGTTTGTTTTATGGGGAACGGCGCTGAAACTCGCACCTGATTGTCATCTCATAGATTGGAACATCTAACTGAAATTACCCTCTTTACAGAGCTGATTATTCTACAGGTTCACATGCTATTTCTGGCTTTTTTGAATAAAAACATGCTCTGTGACTTGCTCACGAATTACGTTACATTCATAACAGACTACAGTTCATTCAGAAGGGTTCAACACTTTCTACACCACTCTGTGAGGTTTACAATCATTCATATATCAAAACCACAGACAACTCTAAAGTATGCAGTACTCTCTCGCGCTCTTCTCTCTCTTTCCACGTCACTGGAGAACTTCATAATTGCAAATCATGGAGAAGGATTACCGCCTGGTGATGGTGAAAAAGCGCTTTCCAAATGTGACAATCATGAAATTACCTTGCCATTAACTTTACGAACTGTCAGCATCTAGGCAGCACAGCTGCTTATTTAAATGTTGATTGTAAGCCACTAGAAATCACATCAAAATGCTGAACAGAACGGTGAAAATTAAGACGTTTGAGAAAAAAACAAAAAACAAAACAGATATTGCTATGCAAATTTTAAGTGGCCATATGAGGCTCAGTTCCAGTGCCTGATGAATCATTACAGCCTCTTAATATTTAAATATCATAATGCATCAATATTTAACGGAAGCTTTAATTAATCCACATTTCAAGCACCTGAGAGTCACACCATCTGGGTCAGTCAAGGTGCTTCTTGCACCTTTGGGAAAGGTACACAGATCCACTTTGTCAGTTAATGTAGATTACATCACATTGTCAAATATGAAATTATGTCTGTTATATGACATTTGCATTTACTAATACTAAATGATATGGGAAGCATGCACTAACAAGAACTGTTATTTCCAAGCCACTTGTTGAAAAACACAATTTCTCGTAGAAAAGGAATATAAAAAAATGTGTTTTGCGTGTCTTTTTTGACTAAGAACTGTGAAAGTTGTTTCTGATTAGAATATGAATGGAGTAGTTCTTAAAACGCTGAGTTAAATCATGAGTTAATTATGCTTTATATCATAAGTAGCTACAGAAACTGTCAAATCTGAGAAAGTAACGTGGTATGATTTTTGACAGTTATTATGCATATTTCTTATACACCCCAAGCATTCGTTTCATAAAAGACTAAAAGGCTGTCTGTCAAATGAGCGCATAGTTTAATATATAACTCCCAAATAAGGACACTTTTCTCTTTTAAGCACTGTGTGATTCATAGCAGTCCAAACATTTCGGTGTATTCATCTTTACCACAGAAATAACATGGACTAATGAATAGTTTTCAGTGTTTCTGTGCAATTATAAAGCGCGTTGATGATGAATGAATCACTCACCATTTCTGTGAGGAGCGCGCGGGTCAAAACCATGGCACGACTCTAAAACCTCCTGTGGAAATTCACATCCTCGCATGGAAGAGTGGCGCTTGGAAAGAAACGGACAACTTCTAGGCTTCGCTGGGTTTACTGAACGTCTGCTGTCGGCGGTGAGCACAGTTGTGGGAGTTTAACGTGTGGCGGTAATGTCAGCGCAAACTAGATACCGTGGCTCAACGGTTCGTCCGGTAGAGCCGAGCGCGTTCGCCCTTCGGTTTCCACAGTGCATTGCAAACTGAAGTATCAAGTCCCTCCTCTTTCACACCACTTCCACCTCCAATGTGTCTAGTGCCCTTCTCAAGAAACGCGTGTCCAGTGTCGTTGTCATGTGTACAACATGCAAGAAGCACGCGCGTTTAGGTTTCAACTAGGCGTGCAAGCAACACTGAACACATAAACGGGGTATTTATACAATCACAACGCATAGCAAACTTTTCCCCCTATAATGCATACAATTAGATACATATTGTATATTGCCTATTTGTGTAGTCAATTAAAATAACTGATTATAAATGAACACTTAGACGTTTGTGTGAAACTAACCTCAAGTTGCTCCAGAGGATCTGCGACTATAATAAGCAACTCTTTAAAAATAAAAACATCTGCTATATGACAGCTTGCTTTTTACTTATTTAAATAGCAAGATGCAATGAATGGGAATATTAAACTAAATATAAACATATTTAAATGTACGATTGTAACCACACAGATATCAAATGGAAAATAGATTTTCCCATTTATGTTCCTCCATGCAATAGAGGTAATACAATACAATTGTATTAAAACGGTCTTTTAGTGTAAAAATAGCACACCAAGAATTATAATTATTTCATATTATCAAATATTAAATTAGGCTTTTCTGGAAGGCCAGCTTATATGACCACATCATGATAAAATATAGAATAAAATAAAAAAAATCGGATGCCCATTTGACTTGGCGTTTTTAGAGTTAAAGTGTGTCTCTCTGCTTTGACATTGTCTTAAGGTGATTTTTGCATAATATATTTATGTATATTGTATTAAAATGTGATGACCCTACTTTTCCAGAACAAGCATTCATTATACATTTCACTTAGTGGTATTAAGGAAGATAAAGACAAAAGGGAACCGAAAACAGCACACAACTGAACAGAAACTGGAACTAGAGACATCAATAACTCACACGTCATTTTCATTTTTTCGCCATTGTTGCAGTAAAACATGGATTTGCTCCTACTCCCTTGATCCTCTGTATCTAACCTTTTTAATAAGTGTATATCAAACCTCTGTCAGCGTCTCTAATCTATATATAGCTTCAAAAAATGCATAGGTTTACATAAGGCATAGAAATCTTTGCTCAAAAAGCTTGAAACTCTTATTACATATTTACACCATGCGAGAAAAATAAGTTATACAGTCTTGCAGAGAAAATATAGCTGTAATAACAAATAAATGTCAAATCCAACTCCTCACATTCGCTGTGCTTTGAATGCTGATGTGCTATTGTCTTCACTGTGGGTGTTTAACCAGCATAATTTAAACTGGACCAGCACAGGAATTCTTATTCGTCTAAGATATTTTAAAGCAAGAAACAGGCACCTTTTTATAAGAACAATTCTACAAAATTCAGAAAATAGAACTACATGAAAATAGATCCACCAGGACCCCTTGCAGTCTTGTCAACAAGACCTTGTTGATGTGGCAAAAATTATTTCCTGGAGGAATGAATGATATTTTTTGAAAAGACTTCATTAAGAGCACATTATTTTTCCATGCACTGAGCCTCACACATTTTTCTTGTCGCTTTTCCCAGTGTTCTCTCTTTGCAACTGATATTTCTGTCCAGTCCAGTCATCAGCCAGACAGAACCATTATTATGCCTCCGGTACTCTGTCTTGCCATATATAAATTGGAAGGCACTTTTAACTAAATCAACAAAAACAGAGAGGCTGGTGTGCTGAGAGTGAGCAAGCTCTCCTTACAGTAGTATTCAGTGGTGTAGTGGTAAAACTCACTAATTTGCAACCTTTTTTTCCCCTCTTTGTGCTTATTACACAGGACAGTGTAGCGATTGGTGGGGAATGTGATCGGCAAAGGACCTTAAGCCAAGTTACTGTGTTTTTTTTGTGTGTGTTTTTTTACAGCACATTGTTGGTTACTGTCATTTTCTACATTACATAACTGCTTGTTGTGTTTTCTACAATACATTGGTAATTACTGTGATTTTCTACAGTACATAATTAGTTATTGTGTTTTCTACAATACATTGGAAGTTACTGTGATTTTCTACAAGACATTGCTGGTTACTGTGACACTCACAGTACTTCTTACATTACTGCAATTTTGACTGAAACTACGGTATTCTACTGTGAACTAGTATACAGTAATTTCCTGTGCACAAACT